CCATGGTATTATATAGAAGAGAAAAAGCTTACAGTGCAGCTGAAAAAATAGATGGGGCGTTACAAGGAGACTGATCAATAAAAGGGGAAGGAGATCTCATTTTCATGCACTCATCTTCTGGGTAAGTAATACAGCTTGCAGAGCAATGCCACCTCACATCCTGACTTCTATGACCATTTATGGGAGTGGCTACATGTCTAGAACCAGCAGGAAACCATGATAACCCAGTCAGCTGGTAGAAGTTACTTCAGTTCATCTTTGAAGTTTTGTGATGTGCAGAAATTCCTCAGAAGTCAAGCAAGCCATTCTCTCAGGAAGCATACTTGTTGCAATTAAAATAAGTGTTCATTTAGTGGCCACAGTATCCAGGATCAGTTGACACCATTTAGTAACACAGGTGCTTCAAACTGCACACTGAGTGCAGGAGCAAGAGACATCTTTATTTGTAATATATAAAATGCAAAAATCAAGGATACCTGGATTTAGGATAGCATGATGAGACAGATAGGGAGAGAATTTTACATATCAGGTCCCAATATAACCATTTTTATATTACTCAAAAGCTTTTAGGAGAAGTTCCACACGGAAGGACTTTTAACTCAGAAATCAGCATTCTTCTGGAGCCAGAGGACTCGAATACCTTAAAGATATCACATCAACCCAATGCGAGAACAGAAAACTGCTGCAGCTCTCCAAGACCTACAGAGGGTTACACATCAACCTGGAAACAGTTCCCTGACCCATCAAGTTGCAAACATTCATTGGGAGGAAAGTAGGAACTCACTACTGCCGTTGGGCAAGACTAGCAGTTTCTATGAAAGAGATAGTATCTGTTTTTGCTTTACTATGGGTTTTGGTTACTCAAGTTGTGTATTTAAAAAAAAGTGAATGTCCTCACTGGTTCTTCAGGTCAGCAATATGGTATCAGAGAAACTGTCCCTACATCTACCAAATGGAATTTATCCAGCTCATACTAATTTCCAAACTGCTTTTTGTGAAGAATTAAGTTTCACTGTATTATTAGTTACAAAGCCTTCCCAATAAAACACACACATGTATTATGAAACCTTACTTTTCTCTGTGAAATAAAAATTTGTAAAAATTCAGTTAGTGCAAAATAGGTTAACGTCACACAGTAACTTACCCCAGGAGCAAATGGAGCAAAAGCAGTATTTTAGACTTCTTTTGGGATGAAAGAGGAAGAACTTTTTCTCCCAAAACTGCTGTTCTATTACAGACTATGGATTTGTACCGATAAACAACTTGTTCTCTCATTTGAGCTTCATAAATTGTAGTCACAATACGTAACTAGGATTCAGGTTCAAGAGAGCAACAGTTAGATGTTCTTACAGAACTCCTGTGTGTTTAATATGTGAGCAGCTTCTGCACATCTTCAAGGTGTTATATGAAACAAGTTCTAATCTGTAACAGCTTCATGCCCGTGCTATTTTTTGGGCAGTTATGCTGCAAAAATCCATGCACATGTTAAATTAAGAGTTATTATTTAAAATGAAGTCCAAAAAGTTCAAATCTGGCATAAGACTCATGGCAGAAGTCTGTGGCATATATCCCACCACACCATGCCTCCAGCTGCCTGTATAGTTTTGTGATTTCACTTCACATCCTGTTTATCATGCCTCAACTTTCACTATATTTCTACTCACTACAAGTTTTTTGAGGGGAAAACTAGAGTAAGACAGCTGGCTCTTTGTACTTGTCAGGGGGACACATATGCTCTTCAATAAGCTAACAACTACAGATTTTATTTTTTTTTAAACCTTGAAAATGAACCCCTATGTTATATTCCTATGATACTACTCAGTAAGCTCTGTATCTAAAGACAGTTTCACTACATTTACAGCCACTAAAAATTTCTTTCAATCAACATACTTATTAGTTGTTTCTCCAAATCTGAAGTCTTAGTTTTTAATTATTATAACATTACTTTATTTTAATCTTTTTCAATGAGAACAGTCCTATATTTTCAAGCTCGTGAAAAATTAAAGCATGTGCTGCTTAAAAGAAAATATCAGTTGCCTGGTAACAAACTGCATTTTAGAAGAGTAAGTTTTACCTTTTGTAGCATCCAAAGATTTAACCATTGCAAGAAAGTCTGAAATCTCTTTACTGAGTCTTTGTTGGCACGCTTGTGCTTTCTGAAAGATAGCAAGGATAGCTAGTTCAGAAGTGCCTTGTTTTTAGGAAAGTGTATGTTTATTCTCTTAACTATACTGAAATTTTTAAAGAGCATTAATTTGAAGAGCATTAAATTTTAACAGATTCCCTGTGACAGAGACCAATACATTAAAGCCGGAAAAAATTACTTGTCATACCTTCAAAGACACACAAGGAAACAGAAGACTTATGCACATTATATTACTGACCAGCTTTTGTTTAGATTAGTGTAGCAAACCAAACCCCCAAGCTATGTTGCACATACTGTTTTTGCATTTCCCTCCCTTTTTTTATTAAAAAGTCTGAAAACCCAAGAAGAGCCATTGCTTGTTCTTCACAAACCTAATGCCAAAATAAGCAAATGCATAGGTTAACTGATGTATGGCAAGTACAGCAGCAGGCAGGAACCCACCCCAAGATCATATTCCAAGCCTGCATTTGAACTTGAAGAGTTATCTGTTAGATTCCATAGGCTGCTGGGAACTGCCAGCCTCCGTTATCCTCCCATCTCTGTTCTGCCATGAGCTACTTTGTGTTCTTGTACCAAAAGAGTACAAGCCACTTGGTGTTCAGTCACATGAAGATTTTTGCGTTGCAGTGTCAATTTCCCCTTAAAGTAACAGGTTTTAGAGGTATACGTATGGCAAAAAGTGAAAAAAATAAATCACAGGCTGAATGCTAGAATTATCAAGAAAGACTCATTTCCATTGCCGGTCTGAACAATCACTGTACAATGCATCTAACGTGACCCAAGGTGTTAAAGGATCATTTCATTGCCCATTTTATAGAGGTAGAGCTCACTGAAGGTTAGCTTTGGTGACACCAAGACTGGACGATAACAAGTACGGTACACAAGGCTCCCTCTTCTGGCTGCAAGTTTCAAGAAACTCTACTTTGCAGTAGTGCCAGTAAAACTGAAACACACAACCCTGTAGCTATGATAAACATGCCATTTTATGCATACAGTCTGAACAGGAATATGTGACATTAAGCAGTGCAAATACAAGCAGCATTCATGCATCCATGGGATGAAAGAATCATTACTTTTAGCTGAAAGTACAGTCAAGTATTTCAACACAAAACAGCACTAATCTGCAACTGCCTAGATACATGAGCCAAGTAAACACTCAGTACATACTTTGAGAGTATCCTGTAGGTGTGTAACAGATACTGTATCATCTTCCTCATCATCACTACTCAACTGTTCCTGTGTGCAGTAATGGGTGCTATATGCAGAGTGGTCTTCTATGGCTTCCAGCCAACTCTGAATGGAAAAAAAAAACCCAAAAACATATTTAGTATACATTTCAAAGGTCATCCCTGGAAGGCAATAGCATACACGCAAAACAAATTAAAATTTTCTATTGTTGTGAATAAGATACTCATTAGTAAAATGAGACACCTTAATATAAAATAAATTGTTAAAAATTGTAACATGTATTGAAGACGAGATGCTCTCCGGTCAGAGTGTTACAGATTTAACTGATCAAACTTTAAGCACGAATGTAACCACCCCTCAGTCTATCCAAGGTCACATAAAAATGTCACGTCAATTACGAAAAGACTGTAGGGAATGTATTTTGCATCTTTGAGTTTCTGTTCAGACAGCAAGGTCTCTGTGACGTCTGCCTTCTTATGCATGACAAACTGTGTACAAAATCTCAAGCACTATCATATTAAGAGGTATCATTTTTGTCATACTAACAAGCAGATTCTTTTCCTGTTCACCAAATGACAGAGTAGCTGAGGTTGGCAGGGCCCTCTGGAGGTCATTGGTCCAACCCTCCCTGCCCAAGAAGGGCCACCTAGAGCTGGTTGCCCAGGACCATATCCAGATGGCTTCTGAGTATCTCCAAGGATGGAGACTCCACAATCTCTATGGGCAACCAATGCCAGTGCTTAGTCACCCTCACATTCCTTCTTATGTTCAGAGGGAACCTCCTGTGTTTGTGCCCATTGCCTCTGGTCCTGTCACCAGGCTCCACTGAAAAGAGCCTGGCTCCATTCCTCTTTGCACCCTCCCTTCAGGTATTCACATACATTGATAAAATCACCCTAAGCCTGGTCTTCTCCAGGCTGAACAGTCCCATCTCTCTCAGCCTCTCCTAATATTAGAGATGCTCTGATCCCTTTAATCATCTTAGTGGCCCTTTGCTGGGCTCTCTCCAGTATGTTCACATCTCAGAGAAGCCCAGAACTGGACACGGTTCTCCAGTTACGTCCACCCCTACTTCATCTCTAGTTACTGTTGAACTTCTCTAGGTCTATTAACTACACTACAAATAGCCCTAAAAAAGTTATTATCTTGTTTCAGACCCACATTTTAAGACAATAGAATTTATTACATCATCTAGGAGAATGCCTAAGAGTAGAACATACCATTAAACATTCCTTTGTTTGGGATAATGAACTATGAAAGAAAGTGCAACAGAAGGAAGTTGCAATAGAAGTTTACCACATGGGGAAGTTAAAGAAAAAGAGGAAGTTAGACTACAAGGCATAATACAGGCACAAAGCTGGAAAACAAGGTGGCACTAATTTTAAAGAACAGAATGACAATCTGTCCATTTTTGCTGCTTAGTCTATAGTCATGCTAAAAGATTCAAATCTGCATTTATGTTGCCAAACTCTGATGATCAAGATACTGAACCCACTACTAATGCATCCATAGCAAGTAGTATGCAATTTATTCATTACAGAAATTATTACATTTTAAAGCCTTTGATAAAGAGTAATTATTACCTCTCTAGTTTGAGAAGGAAGGCTATTTTTAGGAATCTTGAAACGATGAACCGTGTCATCAAAACATCTGACAGAAAAGAAGCAACTGTCTGTAGATTTTACCTAAAGCAATGTGGAAAAAACCACAAAGTTACTATAATGAATCAGGAAGAAAAGAAAATACTTAAGAGTAAGCAAGGTAAATAATCGCTCTGAACTCAGAAGTTTTTGGCTCAGTTTTGATGCAAAGTGACTATAGTTTGCAAAAAGCTTGGTCAGAACAGTTTTGCAAAGTGCTGTCTCACTTTTCATCATGAGTGATAATACAGAGGTTCTTTATGTCAAAATATTACATTTGCATATATTTGCACCACTTGATTCAGACAAAATCTCAGCAATAGTGCAAGACAGGAATTTGTAGATACAGAAAAGCAAAAGTCACTTTTCATATAGTAGGAGTCTATATGTAACTGTAGTTACAAGTAGAACTTGTGCTGCCAATGTATAGAACTAGAGACAGGTTAGTAATAGAAGAAAAAGCATTGAAATGATCCTAAATGCATTTTCCTTAAACACTTCATCTTCCTGTGTATTATTAGTGACACCTGGCCTGTTTTTCCTCTGACCCTGTTCACTCCTTCCAAAACAGATTCACACGAGCATAACAGAATTTAAGGAAGTTTTCCCAAAAGCCACCTTCAGAATTGATCAGTTCTCCGAGATCAGCTTAAGTTACACAATCAGTCAGATGTAGCCAGTGACAGCTACAGGAGGAACTAGAGCTTTACTATTCTGCATCACATGCTCCGAACAGTTGTTCTGCACAACTGAGGAGGCATGCTTTTAGGAAGCCTTATGTTTGTTTAAATCTTCAAGGCTTTGGAAAGAAGGGAAGGAGCTTTATGACCACTTTAGATATAGAATACCTTGCTTGATTAGAACCAGCATTTCTTGCAACAACACAAGCTTTTCCCTTTTTTTATAACAAAGGCATGCTTACTAACCTAGCTGAAGTTTTCATTGTCTAGGTATGGAACACAATCACATAAAAAAAACCCCAAAAGCCAAGTAGTTACAAGTCATTTCACTTCCTACCGTGCAGACAGCTTGTGTTAAATGCTTGCATCCCTGACGATGATCATTGTTCACTGCATCAGATCTTTGAAAGAGAGAGAGATTTAATAAAGTGAAGATGGGAATTATTTAAATTTCTTTTCAGAAATTTAGAAACAGAACTTACTGTCTCCGATACCAGGAAAGGACTCCATGTTCCAGAACTATCCAGTAGAGTTTCCAACCAAAAAATCGTGAGCTCTAAAAAAATTTTAAGAAGGTAGTATGGTTAACTAGGTAAGGCAAGTTAACAGTGAAGAGTTTCTGTTCCCAGTAAGTTTGGTAGCTTGAAAGCTATTACATAAAACTGGCAGTCATTAGGAAAACATTTTAGGTGTTACATATCTTGGTGATCACAGCCACTCGAGAATACTTTACATTTACAATGCTATTATCTTTTTTGGCAATACCTAAAGACAAAAGTTTTGTTGAACGTGCTATTCAGTAAGAATTGAAATATTAAAATACTGCTGCATTTTTTAATATTACAGGGGTTGTTGATCACCACACAATTCTACTTTACAAAATCAAATGAGAAACAAAACACACTGAGATCCAACTACAACATTTTACCTTTCGCAAGCTTTAGTCATGGTTTAAAAACAGTTCCTTATAATACAATTCTGAGTGAATACATAAGAAAATTTACACTGAAGAAAATTTCAAGGATTTCATTAAGAAACATAGAAATTAAACATTCATGTAGAAGATTGAGAAAACTTTTTTAACAAGAGAAACAAGATTCACTTGAGTATCAGGGCAAAACAAGCTTTAAACAACCATTTGACATCTTCCCTCTAAGTTTTAAAATTTCCAGAAGGTGGTGAACTTGTGGCAAAGTATTAGTCGCAGATTATTAAAGACATCTACTCAGGAAAGAAGAAAAAAAAAAACACACACACACACACAAAACCCAACCAAAAAGCCACACAACACATTTTGCTGACCATACAGACAAGAAACAAAACCTTACCACAGTGAAGCTTTGCCACAAAAATTACCAAGAAATAGAGATTTTAGGGACTGAGGTTAAGATCAGAGTGCATGAATCTAGTAACTGCTCCCCTCAACCAGCTCATAACATATCCAATATACTACATTAAAGTCAAGCCATTTAACAGATCTATTATTGAAAAGTTCCCTCATTCATCAGCTCTCACTTAAGTACAGAAAAGAACACACTTTGAGATCTTATAAGCTATTTTAGAGAAGGAAATAAGACATACCTTCCATAGGAGACCTTCATATCGTCTCAGGGGTTTGTTGATAATCTGCATAGAAATTAAAGCTCATGTAGGAATAGCTTCAACTAGACAGCCTTAGCATTTTAAATGGATTCAAAAGTTCCTACCTTTCCAGTTCTACCTCCCAGTATCAGTTTCATTTCTGCACCTTGGGCGAGATCAAGGGGCGTCTGATCTGTTTAGTAACCAAGACAAGGCATGAAAATTTGATGCAAATAAACCTAAGTGTACTTCACTGAAAAATAATCTGACACTATGTTTACCCATTATAGTTTGGTCCCACAAGCATCTACATTTACTTGGAATTGGGGAACATAAGCTCCACAGGGGCAGAAGACTAAAAAGGCTCTGATGTTTAGTGCACTGAACTATCTCTCCTTCAGAGTTCTACTAGCCACAGAGAGGCCTTTGCTCTTAGTTTGTTTTTTAGCTCTTCAGCCATATAAAACAGTTCAGAACATTCACAAATATCAAGACAGAGGCATCTTTAATCTGATGACAAATACACGGTTTGCATAACATCTGCATAAAGTCTCCTGGATTTGTTTTCATTAGAAGCCTTCTTCTGAAGAGTCACTTTGTCTGGGCCACATCTTCAATCTTACCACTTTTTTGTTAGCTGTGTTCCATGTTTAGCATCAAGAAAACAAAAACCAGACACATTTCATGGTTAAGACATACAGCAGGTAAGTTTTCTAGAAATAGGTAAGTTTGGAAAATAAAAGCATATATGGTAAGTATTTTGCTACAATTCTTAAGTCTCTTGCAATTTAGTCAGTGTTGGGCTTCCTTTATTATTGATACAAAGCTTGTAAATCACTAAGATTTTTTTTCCCTGAACATTGAGCGGTAAGTAACATAGCTTATAGAAGCTGTTAAATTTTTGTCTCCTCTTAACACTTTATGTACTTTCATTTGGTACTCACCATTTTTGTTTCTTATTTTAGGATCTGCTCCATTTTTTAGAAGTTTCAACGCGCAGTGCTTATGGGCACGGTATGCTGCACAGTGTAATGGTGTGTTCCCCATCTGATCTGTACAGTTTATATCAGGTGGCTTGGGCTTGTTCAACTGGAAAAAACCACAAAGTTTTGCTTACTTATCAGTATTCCTCCCTCTCCAGATGCCACATTCATTCTTTTGAAAGTTAGCTATTCCTTACTAGGATACACTTCTAGTGTAGATATCTAGAAGTAGATACACTTCTACTCAAATGTGGCTATTGGATGTGTATATTGGGGTTTGACTAGATAATCTTTAAAGGTCCCTTCCAACCCAAACCATTCTATCCAATATCAGCCATTATAATTAAGCTTCCAAGACAAATGGGACTGCCTTAATAGAAAGGTTAACTTACTGTTAAGCCATCTTAGAAGACTAGAGTCAGAAGTGCATGACAACAATTTCAGAGAAACTCAGTTTAAGCCTTCTGCATTAGCCATATGCTATCTTAGAGAAATTAATCTATAATAGCAGAATTCCCATGGCAGCAATTTAAGTCAGCATCAACAGTAACCACTTTAAATGTCTTCCAAAGTAGTCCTATAAAGGATAAACTACTACAGCTGTTATTTACAGTTCAATTGAAAAGAGAATACAGGTCAAAGAGAGACAGTTTGTGGAAGTATAACCTCATTAGTACTGAGGTCAAATACTTGAGTTCCTGAGGATTCCTAGGTTTTAGCTCTTTCCAACCAGCTGTTTTACATCTGCCTTATCTCTGCCTCTCTTGACTTCTTGCTTCCACACCCTTTAAGCCACATGCCTGTGCTCTCAGCAGCTTACACCTTGTTAGAAGGCACTGGTTTTGCCTCAAGTACACTAAAAAGCCTGGGTTAAGATTCAGCTACTGAAGGTTTAGCTTTTAGTAGCTAAACATACTGATCTAGTGAGAATCTTGACAGAAGAGAAGCACAAAAGCCACCACAACCATTTGACTTCAAGAAACTTCAACAGAAGGAGCAGCTACAAAATTAAAGTGCACACAGGAAAAGGAGAAAAAAAAAATAGTCTGAATCCCAATTTGAAGGTTTAGAGAAATTGAACCATTAAATTGTCTCTTCCAGACAATTGTGTTACAAAATGCAGTACAGTCTTTTTTGGTAAAAATAATCAAGATAAAGGAGAACTAACAATAAAAGGGTATCTTTCAAGCAAGTGGCACTCTGTTCCAAAAGCAGAGCAGTGGAGAACAAATTCTGATGTGTGAGGTTTCACAATAACAGTAGATGTAAGCAGCTAGTTCCATGAGCGTAACAGTCTGCTAACTAAAAAAAACCCAAAAAACAGTAGGAACAGAAAGGCCTGAAAAATCTGTAGGCAAAGTATAAGGCATTATCAATATAAAGGACAGTTCCGAAGAGCTATACAAATTCTTCACAAGTTATTAACCTAGGAGTAGGAAAGTCAAGGAAGTTTACACCATACAGATGTAAGTGGAGAGAGTTCTTTAAACTCCTGCTGACTCTTGAGGAAGTCCAAAAATTGTAATTCAATGGTCACAGGCCCAAGTATTCTCCAAAGGATTCAAAGAAAAAAACCTGTTGTGACTTGACTTAAAAACTGCCTCAGGGTCAAAAATGTGATAGTACTTTTAAGTTTGAGCAGTCAACATATAGCTGTCCTCACATATACAGAGCTCAATGGTACTAAATATTTTTAAAAAATCACCTCAAAATGAAAATGTTTGCAGGTAGAGTTACATGTGCATGCATGATTACATGCCACATGAGAGAAAGTACCATTCTTTAATGACAGCTTTCTACTAGGAATCACCTTTTTCTCCAATTTTTTTTACATCAGTTTAAGACTTAGTCACCAGGCATGCAACATCAAATGCACCAAGTGCTACAAATTACCAGAATCAAGAACAGATCACTTATGCCAGTGTATTAATTACAATTAATACTGATCATGCTGGTGTATTAATAAACTATTCTTTGACATCTTAATTACTGTTGTGGTGGGTTGACCCTGGCTGGAAGCCAGGTGCCCACCAAAGCCGCTCTGTCACTCCCCTCCTCAGCTGGACAGGGGAGAGAAAATATAGTGAAAGGCTTGTGAGTTGAGATAAGGACAGGGAGATCATTCAGCGATTACCATCACAGGCAAAACACTCAACTTGGGGAAATTAGTTTAATTTATTGCCAGTCAAAATCAGAGTAGGATAATGAGAACTAAAAACCAAATCTCGAAAACACCTTCCCCCCATCCCTCCCTTCTTCTCAGGATCAACTTTACTCCAACTTCTCTACCTCCTCCCCCCTGAGCAGTGCAGGGGGACAGGGAATGGGGGTTTGTGGTCAGTTCATCATTGTCTCTGCCGCTCCTCCCTCCTCAGGAGAGGACTCCTCACACTCTTCCCCTGCTCCAGTGTGGAGTTCCTCCCATGGGCTGCACTCCTTCACAAACTGCTCCAGCCTGGGTCCCCCCACGGGGTGCCATCCTTCGGGAACAGACTACTCCAGTCTGGGTCCCCCATGGGGTCACAAGTCCTGCCTGCAAACCTGCTCCAGCCTGGGCTCCTCCCCAGGCTGTAGTTGGAGATCTGCTCCAGCGTGGAGCTCCATGGGCTTCAGGGGCACAGCCGGACTCGCCATGGTTTTCACCACAGGCTGCAGGGGAATCTCTGCTCCAGCACCTGGAGCCCCTCCTGCTGCTCTGACCTGGGGGTCTGCAGAGTTGTTTCACATTCTCACACCTCTCTCTCCACCTAAAAACTATTGTGTGCCCTTCCTCTGCCCCCTCCCCCCGCCCCCGCTTCACTCTCTCATCCCAGCGGGGCCCAGCCTGGGCCAGCAGCAGGCCTGTCTTGGAGCCGGCTGGCATTGGCTGTCAGACACCAGGGAAGCTTCTAGCAGCTTCTCACAGAAGCCATCCCTGCAGCCTGCTCCCCCCACTGCCAAACCTTGCCATGCAAACCCAATACAACTGTGTACAGCTCTGTTTCTCCATTTCAAAGAGGATAGTACAAAAAAAACAAATAAGAGTTACAAAGGATGACCAAAGATATAAAAACAGCTTCTGTGCAAGAAGGGGTAAGACAGACAAGGGCTCTTCAGACTAGAAGAGATAAATTTAGAGGATGGAAATAAATTTTGAACAGGTGTCTATTTTAGCTTCTGGGCAGAAAAAGTAAAAGATGTCAGATTTCTCAATCTACAAATCTAACATTTGTGAATTTTCCATTAGAAGTAAGTAGAAGTATTCAGACTGCTTTGATGCCTTAAAAAGTATTACTAAAGATGCTAACTAGGTAGAAAATGTTCCATACTGTATGTCTTGCTTCCAAGGAAACTCTTCAGAACTCAAAAGCTTGAGTCCAAGCATTAAGACCCTGCTTCAAAACCCAACTGGATATGGTCCTGGTCAACCTGCTCTAGTTGATTCAGCTCTGCAAACAGGAGTTAGACTAGGTCATCCCCAGAGGCACCCTCCAGTCTCAATTCTTTTGCAGTTTGCTTCTTTGATAGCCTTACCATGCCATGGTATTTTTCAGCTTGAATTACTACAAGTGTGCACACATGCACATATACAGTTTTCAAGTCCTGCTCAGCATGAAATTGTTTTGCACAGATGACTGCCCATTAAAAGCTACAGAGACTTCAGCTACAACAGATACTAATGACAAAAGCTTATTTTCAAGATTTAAAATAGGCCATACTGTGGTGAAAACCTAAGCTCCCATCACATCAAGGCATCCAAAAAGACATAACAAGCTTATGTCAGTAGATCTAGAAGCATTACGCTGCTACTTACAGTTAACTGAAGAGTATTTAGAGAAGGAAGCTGAAAACCATTGTTTTGCAGCCTCCAGCAAGGAGGCTAGGGTTCAGCACCTTACCAACATAACACAGGGCACAGCACTAATATTCTGAAGCCACAGCACACTGAAATAAAGGCCTAATGTCACATGTTGTTACATTAATGTTATGGCTTGAATCACTTGACACAAAATTATTACAAGCACTTGAATTCTTACCAAAGCAGTCAGTTTCCCTGTCTCCCCCTCTCTTGCTGCTCCTAAGAGTTCTTCTTCCAGTTTCCTTTCTTGTGTCCTTTCCACTGCTGTTTAAAAAAAACCCAAATTTAAGGTCAGTCTCAGTAAAGTAGCAAGTACACATGAAGTACAGCACTCAAGAAACTATGTCAAAACAAGCTTAGAGAAACAAGTTTCCAGTATTATTTATTTGGGACAGGTATAAATGGAATATTTTTTCAGAAAAGTCTGTGTCAGAGCAAATATATATTCAAAAATATGTAATATTTGACAAGATGTGTGATTGTGTATACGTGCATATATATATATATATAGGTTATTATTTTTTAAACACTTACAACCCAATCCGACTCCCTAGTAAAAGGGAAAACAGGGGAACTGTATGACACCTCCATCAGATCTTCCCTGTGTTCTTTTCAGTTTCTCTTCTACTCATGCTATCATCCTACAGACATTTTATTCTCCTCTAATAATCCAGCAGATAAGCAGCAGCAAAAAGGACTGTTATCTATGCACTTGCATGTAGAATTAGGAGAGACCACTTCTCACATACACAGTCTGTGTCACTGGACACAGAGCTTCAGTAGTATTTATGGGTATCATAATAATAATATCAGGAAGCACCACAATTCTTTAACTCTCCAAAACTATAAGCAGTGAGACTATATAAGTATTTGGACACTATATCACTCACTTTCAACACCTGTGAGGCAATGGAGGAAATAAGGGTGTCATGGTTTAGCCGCAGCTGGCAACTAAGCACCACGCAGCCGCTCGCTCACTCCCCACAGTGGGATGGGGGAAAGAATCAGAAGAGTAAAAGTGAGGAAACTCATGGTTTGAGATAAAGACAGTTTAATAGGTAAAGCAAAAGCCGCGCACACAAGCAAAGCAAAACAAGGAATTCATTCACTACTCCCCATGGGCAGGCAGGTGTTCAGCCATCTCCAGGGAAGCAGGGCTCCATCACGTGTAATGGTTTCTTGGGAAGACAGACGTTATCACTCTGAACAACCCTCCAGCCCTTCCTTCTTCTTCATCCCAGCCTTATATACTGTGCATGACGTCATATGGTATGGAATATCCCTGTGGCCAGCCTGGATCAGCTGTCCTGGCTGTGTCCCCTCCCAGCTTCCCGTGCACCCCCAGCCTTCTTGCTAGCAGGCCAGCACAAGAAGCTGGACTGTCCTTGACTACTTAGCAATAACTCAAAACTTCAGCACATTATCAACATTTTCTCATCCCAAATCCAAAACATAGCCTCACACTAGCTTCTATGAAGAAAACCAGCTCTATCCTGGCTGAAACCAGGAAAAAGGGGGAGTGTTTTTTACTTTTTTTTCCGTTTGACATCACTTCTAAGACTGCAATAGCAAGCCCTAAACTTGATCCAAAACTGGGTCACCTTTACAAACCGTTCAGAATTTTGCTCTTTAAGGATTTTGTTGACACAAAGTCACTTACTGTTCTTGACTTGAGTTTTCCCTCTTCCAGTGAGTTAAGGCTTTGACTGCCACGTACCAGAGCTGTAGGAAGGATTACCCCAACAGGATTGAAGTAGTTACTTGAATAATGCTATTGGCATTCATGACATTTTAACTCTCCAAGTGACTTGCACACTTATTGTGAAAAAAAAAAACCCAACTGTCAGTACTGCAGACAGGAACAAAAAACTAACTTTTTTCTTTCTAATGACCAAATTTAAAGAGAAAATTCAGTTAGGCTTCTGTAACTTGCAACAGAAAAGTCAGCTTTTAGAAGGTACAAGTGTCAAAAAAAACCCAAAACAAGCTATCACCTATTAAAGTTACCTTCCAACATATTCCTTATGTCTTTATCATGAGTAACTTCTTTTGCAGTCTCTCCGCTCCCATTAACAATAGAAGTATCAGCATTATGCTGCAAGAGTAACATCACCACCTCCTGGAAAACAATTTGAGAAACACTGCTTATCTATCTCTCATGGCAAGGCCACATTCAGTCTTTCCAGCTATTGACATCCTGTAAGACGAGCTGTGTAACGGCTTCTCACCACTGCTGGCTCACAAAAACAGGAAGGGGTGTTTTAGAGAGATTGAAGAGCGAGACTAACTGCAACCTTCTCTCACATCAGTCAGGCTTAAGGAACTAACAGGTGATTAGTTATGGCTGAATGGACCCACTCCAATTTAAAAGCCTGTGTACCTGGTGCAAATGCTGAATATGACAGATGAGCTAGTTGTACTGTTTGGGGGGGGGGGGGGGGGGGTTTAGGTAAGAAACTAAGTCACTCCTTCAGAGAAGGGCTGAGAGGTTATCTATAAAAACAGTACTAGTTTGGGAATGATGGTAGCACATGGGGAAGAATTAAACTAGCCTCACATCACAGGCCTATAAAACACCCTAGTTTTAGTTTTTTGTGAAGAAACAGAACTTCCAGACACCAAATGGATCAGTGTGTCCTAATTTACATTTTTCCCCTCCAGAAGCCACTAAGATTAAAACAATGTGGTTTCTTTCTATGTAAATATACAGTTAGTTAGGAGGAACAATCCCTACTCCTTTTGCTGTGTCAAACATACCAGGCACAAATACAAATTAATCTGTTGTACTTTAGCAGTAGATGAGAGATCTTTACACTGGTTTCCACATCGTAATTAGCATCTGCAGCTAGAAGTAGTGCTATGCTTCAGCATTTTCTCCAACACACAGCAGAAGCAGAACAGAAGCGACAGCAGTTAGTTACACAACAGATGCACAGTGCTACAGTGGAAGATAACAATTTCTCTGTCTGACAACAAAATCTTTGCCAACAAAAAGACAAAAAAAGATATGACAAAGTATACCAAGGAAAACCATTGGCCAGTCTTCTCCCATCTTCAAGAAAAGATATTGGTGCCGTGCTTTTGCTTTGGACAGAGTTACACCAGCTAGGCAATGTGTCTAGTTCTTTTGAATACACTCCAAAACAGAAAATAAGTCATTTTTAGACACTGTAAAAACATCTTTCTGAAGTGATCTTATTGCTGGTATTTCCCTACTAATTCTACAATTGAGGTTTAAAAAAAAAAAGCCAAGTACTTTACCTTACGTCCTGTGAAAGCTGCACGATGGAGTGGAGTGTCCCCCATGTCATTCAGCACATTCACATCTGCACCAGCCTAAACAGCAAGACCAAAAGACATCTGAATGTCCTTCCAGCAAGAGCTACATAGCTATTCCCTCTGACTGGGGGGTAAAGGGAGGACAGGACACTAATGTAGGCCTCATGGCAAATCAGATCAGAACTGTAATACAGCCATCCTGGAAATGAAGATAAAGTACATACGTAAGATTCATAACCAGCATTCTATAAACTGCTGCAAAAAGGAAAAGTCTCCTGCATCACTTCCAGGCATCTCTCTTACTTTTGAGAAGAAAGTATATAGAAAATAAGTTTTACACAGGGGGTGGAGGTGTTGGAGGGTTTGTTTTTGGTATTTTTTTTGTTTTGTTGTGGGTTTGTTTCCCAGTTTGTTTGCCCAGTGAGGGGGGTAAGTGTTGGGGGGGGCGGGGGGGGACGACCAAACAACTTACTGAAAGAACTGCAGTGGTATTGGATAGCATGCATACAGACAGTATTACAGATGTACACACAGTAGCACCAGCCTTCTGGTACTCCCAATTTAACAAGTGGCCTTCTCTCTAGGCACCTATTGTTGCTCTTTCACTTAAAGTGAAAAATACCATGTCAGCATTAACCAGTCCCATTGAAAACTTAACCCTTCTTCTCCTCCCTTTTCTCTTCCACAATTTTAGTCTTAAATATCACTTCCTCGTCACACACTTCCTCCATGCCATACCTTTTCTCTGAAGGGAAGACTGCTTGCCACACTACACAGGCATTGTTCCAGGAAACCAAGAAATCCTATTCTTTCTTTAAGCATTTCTTCTACATGACTTTTCCTAACCTCTCAAAGGGTCAGAAAGAGGGCAGGACATATTTAACTTTATCACATGTGTTTAGATCACATAATTTAGCCACGTCACTGCTGCCTGCCTAAAGTTAACTGATGAACCTGACTAGCTCCAGAGCTCTTTCTGATAATTTATTCACTTGCTCTTTAAGCACAAAATCTAGGCACAAGTACAGAGACACCTATATATGCCTAGCTTTCAGAGGTGCACAGCCTCCTTTATTATTTGACTTATTCTTTAAATAATACCCTTTCTAAAGTCCCATCAGCAAAGAAGAAAGCGTAAAGTTACATATACTCTTACAACTCTGGAAGTGTTGATAAATGCAGTAAGTGACAAAACTTTATGTTTTGCTTTAAATAGCCCTCTTTGATTGAGAGCAGCGTTATCAACTGAGTAAGCATGTAGGCTGCGGAAGAACTTCTCAAAGAAATCTCAACTTTGTTTCCTGCTTTAGAGTAACGATTATGCCTGATGGCCTTTATTCTGAGTGCAATTCAAGTTTAGATTAGCTACTTTTGTATTTGAAGCAGTCTAGCACATTCCTGCCACATGCAGCAAAACACTTCAAACAAGAATAGGCTGTAATACAGTTAGAGTTGGTTGAAGTTACCCTCAGAGCTGAGGGTAAAAAAAAAATAAACTCAGCCAGAAACAGCTGCAAAAGCAGTGCAAATGCGTCTATGAAGATACAAATAGATCAGCTTTGACCATAGACATTCATCATTTCAAAATTCATCACACAGTTTGTTATTTCAAAGATATTAAAAAGAAGCGAGTCAAACTATGTTAGCCTGTGCCTGGAAAGGAACACCTACAAGTTACTTTGCACAGAATTCTGGACATACTTCTACACACGACATGCAAAAGAATCTGTGTTATCTAATTGTATTTGAAACACTTTAGCCTTTCCTGCAACTCAGGAAGTGAAATAGCCTAAATTATATACTTTAAGTACCACAGTAAGCTAGGCCAAATGCTTCAAATCCTTGAAGCATTTGCATTACTAATATCAGATGATGGCAGATATTCACTGAGCTTGAAGAGGGGTGAAGCTTTCACAAGGGCATACCTGTGTACTATACATCTTTATTTCCTATATTCAGATGGTTATACAAACACAGAAACCCATAGGAAAAATAGCTAAGGACTAATAACTGTAAATGCTGTTCAGAGTAACAGCTGTACAATACTGTACAAACTTCCAGTGTCACTATTTCAGGTCCTTGTAAACTGGGCTGATCTTAATACTGCAACAATTTCATTTCTTAGTTTTAACAATCAGGTTAGTTATCTCTACACTACATGCAGAGAAACCTGGAGGAGTGGCTCCGCCTCTCTGCAAAGCATTCTTCTATCACAAAAACCTGGACACGTACTAACTTCTTCTAGCGTAACAAAGAATGTTCTACCTTATGCACAGAAGCAAATAGAAATATACCTTCAGCAAATCCTCTACCACAACAGCATGTCCAAAGTAGCATGCAAGGTGAAGAGGTGTCCAACCCATATTAGATTTACTTCTGCCTAAAAGAAAAACAGGTAAATTAGTTTTCATCACACAATACAAAAAAGATGTTGTGTGCTTGGAGGTTGGCATGGATGATCATTCTTCACAGTAACAGAGGACCAAGGAGACTGTAAGCATCGATACTATTGAATTATGACATCAGAATGCAGTTTTGAGAACGTTAGATTCAAACCTACAAAATCTTTCTTAAAGGAGAAAGTCGTATAGTCTGATGGAGAACAACATTTTTTTCATGTAATACCTTTTTCTTCAACAGTAGCAAGAAGCTTCAGTTACTTTCATTCGCTATGAAAATAGCACATGCAAGTACGTATTTCTTTTATCAAAAAAACAGTTCAATTTATCTGATATTATATCCTGCACACAAATGAGAAGTAGGACTACCCATCTTCCAAACAGATGATCCAGACCAAAACAGGTGGAATGTCCTACTGTTAGGGGTTTTTTTGTTGTCTTGTGCTTGTATTCAATTTTAATAGATAGCCTTACTAAGTATCATTATTTGAAATCTTTGTGTACTGCAGAACTCATGTACCATCTACAGCTGCAAGTCTCTGTGGGAATGATAAGCATAAGTAGGTAGGAAGCAGGCACAGAAGTGACCATGCAAAGGAAAATATAATTTATGCTTTAAAAAGCATTTAAAGCATGCCCTGGACGACTGGCTGCATAAATGCAATTCAAGAACTGTCCTACAATCACTTCTTTAAAAGCAAGATACTAAAAGTATCAGAGATTACCAGTTTAACTACTCATGTTAGTTTCCAATTGCAACACTCAACTGTACTAAGCAAAGCTGATTTGTGCTTTGTTTTTAATCAAGCAACAGACCCACAGCATTCCAAGTGCCACCTAAAAGCTATCATTCTGTATTTGGAAGCAAAATGAAAATGAGGGATTAGATATTGTTTTGAAATTACTGCCACCAATAAGTTTTCCCTTTTCATGTATCCTCAAGCATTGAGGTCTGGAACATGCATAACCTAAGTTTGCCCTGAGGGGACAAGCCACTAGCACAAGGAGAAAAAGAGAACTGCTGATCTTGCAAGTTCATCACTCTTTCTGTTCTCGTATTACAAATTAACATTAGAATGTGGTTCACAGCTGAAATATTTTCCCGTTTCTTATAATTGTTTCCAGCTAACATTTCTGCCCTCTGATGGCTATTTCTTTTGTTATTTGGTTTTCTTCTCAACCCCTGCTGTTGTTCCAACTCCAGATTTAGTGTCTTCCCCTTATCCCAGTCTGGCTTACAACACAGCTCCTGCTCTATGTGACTGATAGGCTCAAGTACCAGAGAAGATAGATGCTGTGTGGATCGCTAATTCTGGGGCTACGCATACTGGATAATGTGCATCATTCATCCCCCAGCCTAGTAGAGAAGAAGGTTCTTTCAAAGAATGCAAAAGAAGTCCAAGTTGCACTGAATTCAGGACAATTAGTCCAATATAGTCATTAGTTACAGCATTGACAAGACAGTGCTGCAGCCAAGGAATTCAGTCATAAAAAAAAAAATCAGGAACCCAGCCAGACTCGTAATTCTTACTGAATAAAGTGCCAGAGGCCCTTGTTCTGCATCCACTCTGAATGTCTGCATTTCTGATGTTTGCTGATTGGTTACTTCTCAGGGTCTTGAGGTGTTTGCTACTTCTTTTCAAGTGACCACAAGTGCTTGCACTTTTAAAAAATTATTATTTTAAACCAGGACATCATTACAGTGGGGAGAATGCAAGGATAGGAAAGTAGAAGAAACACAACAAAAAAAAAATAATTCCTCTACCCCTTGCACCGAGTTCATTGCTTTGATGCCAGTTAGCTGTAAGTCTCAAGTGTTACCATTTGTTTAGAGAATGGAGACAAACTAGGCGGCCATATCTTGGTTGTGGTCTGCCAGGCTACCATGCGGTCATTCAAATGTATATTTTGGCATAACACACTGTTGACCATTGACCTTACTTTGCAGTTTTTGTACTTTGCAAAGTCCTACATGTTCCGTTTTCTTGTATTTAAGGAGAATAAGCCAACAGAGCCTTAGAAAATACGATCATTGTGGATGAAACCCAGGTTTAATGCTGTTTTAATATGGTTACCTTCTTTTGAAACCAGCAAACTGAGAAAACTGGAAATGGAAGTTCACACTATTTGGCTGGATTCTCATCAAGCAAGTCTTGCTTATCTGCAGGTCTTGATTGGCTAGAATCCAGTCACAACACAACAAGTAGAAGCCTGGATTTATTTTCTCTTCCTCCACTTAGGATGAAATTGTGATGTTTGGGATCACTCTTGTCAAACGTGAACCTAGAGCACAGCCTCAGCTATAAGCTAATTCTTGGAAAGACAAGACAGGTTTTACAAGATGTTGAAGGTAGGCTTTGACACCCAGGTACATTAATGTGTCAGACTTGTGTTTCCCCAGGCATGCTTTGGGGGAAGTTTATACTACATCCAGCACAGCCTCCCAGCTGCTCCAGAAGTACTTTATTCCAAGCCAAGTGTCATTGCCACATCAGACGCAAGTCCTGAAGGAACTGCTGCAGCACTGCAGACATTTCTCATACCCTGACTTCCTAGGGATATCCAATTATCCAGAAGATAATGACAGAAGGACAAGAGACTGTAGGGAAGAAAAGGAAGATTGAGAGTTGCAGAAAGTCAGTTACAGTCCACAGCCTGTATTTTAGTTAATCATCATGTGGTTATGCAATTGCTATCTGGTAGCACCTAATAGATCAGAATTTGTAGCAAGACATAGTAGTTTTGATAGTGAGGAAGCAGAATGGCAGAGGCAGTTATACTGCAGAGGCTGTTTGGCCTATATTTGTCTTAGACCATTTCCAATGGAGTACTCTCTGGGAGCAGAGTGACTGAAACAGTCAGTCTCTGAAGAGTGACTGTGGAAGAATAGAGATTTAACTCTGAAGTTTCATACAACAAGAACAGTTCCCCCCCTGAGAACAGTTCAGTTACACTTCTGTGTCCTCTAACATTTAGAGGAATCAGACCTTAGAAATAGGAGATTTCAGTGTGTATAGATTCCATATGCAAAATTATTTTGTTTAACCTAAACTATCCCCAGCACATTCCCTCTAGCTTCCTAGACCTCCCATTAGCAAGCATGTATTAGCTGGATGGCCATGTGTTGCTGAAGTGGAAGAATAACAGCTAAGTACCATCTATCTTCCCCTTCATTAGCTGAGTCTTCTATGGTGCAGACTTTCACAATACTAACACTTGACTTTGAGCAGGAAT